TAGTATTCAAGTGGGACGAAGAGGAGAGAGAGCCCAATTTTAACGAACTGACGGAATTTATTATGTCTCGTGCTAAGATAGCTAGTAGTAGGTTTGGAAGATTAGCTTATCAGGCTAAAACAGGAAATAATACGGAAGCTACTAGTGGTCTGCGTGCGAGACATGAGGATTTTTCGTTTCTACCTAAAGCACGCTCGGAAGATAAGAGATTTGTCAATTATATCACGAAAGCATACGCTGATGAAGGACGAGTATGTGACCGTAACGATGTAAAACCTCTTGATGCGTGTCCTAGCAAGAAGTCGGTTGGTGTAACAGATAAGATGGCTTTTCTAAGTGTAGAAAAGAATGAAAAAGGCGAAAAGTGTAGGCATCAAGATGGATCCGAAGTGTGTGACGATAAAAGCCTCTTAGCTGCTCAAAAAGCCTGGAACGGTTATTTGGATTCGAGTAATCAGAGGTTAATGAGTTCAGCAAATATGAATAAGACCCAGGCAGGATTGACTGAACGGAATAAAGCTTATTTTCGGAACCCTTCAGTTAGGGTAAATTATATAACTGGACCTAGAGTAGATTGTAGGATAAGTGATGGTGGTACAGCAACGGATAAGAAGCCTAGGAGACAACTTGATGCTACTATTACTAAGAAGCCTAAACCTCATGCTCTTTCGGATGCTACGACTAGCCAAGGAAATAGTAGCCATCCGAACCTCAGTAGTGACAGTGATAGTAAGGAGATAGAAGGTGTCAGCAGTCCACTTATAGGGACTAGTTTATCAACTTCATCGAATGAGCCTCCTAGTGTTTCGACGTCATCGGACCTCGTCACGAAGGTTAAGTTGATTGAAGATGCACAAGGTGGTGCAACTGTAACTGTTCCTATTACGGTTGACTGTCAGTCGAGTGATGATGAGAAGAAAGTGCTTGATGGTAACAGCCAGTCTACAGTGCTGTGTGATGACGATGCTATTGTTGAGCATATGTCTTGTGCCGCTGAAACGGATGCTAATGCAGAACGGAATCATTTAGACGTTGATAATAAACTGGATGTCACTGAGGTGACAAATGAGTTACCGACGATGATGAATACTGTTCAAACCTCCTCTGCATCAGGAGATGGAAGGATAAATATTGATCCCACGTCATGCTACTTAAGGTCTTCTGGAGACGATGAAATGTCAAAATTGGAGATCCCACCCTTGCATATTATTTATGGGTCAAAAACTTCTGTTGATAAGTTAGCATCACGGACTTCATGGTATCTGCTGATCGGAGCAAGTGGTGGTGGATTGGCGACTCGTCCCCATGATAGAGAATGTAGTCTTCGGATAGGATATGACCAGTTTTACGATGTGTTGTTCATGTTCGTATGGGTTAATTGGGTAAGGTTTATACTACCGTTAGGTCATTCCACGATAGATAGGGGAATCAAGGGCCTGATGGGAAAGTATAGGAACCTAGTTAACACGATAGGTCATATCCATGTTGGATGGCGGGTAGGCGTACTGCTGTAAGTCCTACACGTTATTCCGGTGTGGATTAGGGGATAACATGGGAACCCTAAATAAGGTGTCATTAACGCTTGCTGTTTTTGCATGGAGGGATTTTGCGGGCCGGTGTAGAATTCTTTTTGAATGTTTTGTGTTTTGGAAAATCCCTCCATGTTTACATATTTTTGCTATGACCTGACGGACTTTTTCTGTTGACATTTTTGGTATTTTATTTGATTCCAATTTGAGATTTTACCATTGTATGTTGTTATTCTTTCCATATTTTGTACTTATATTGAAGTTTTTGTGTTTGCTTTTGAACTGTACATATATTGTTTAAATTTGATATAATATGGCTACCGCCACATTTTTGGATAGACGCGGTGGCTGCTGGACTTATTGTCACTTACTAGCTATTGTAATAGATACTCTACGGAGTAATTTAGTCCTGGAAGAAACAAAAATACCGTAAGCCTCTGTATTTCCATTTTATAACAATATAGAGACGTTTTCTCCTAGAAATTTTGACCTTTTGATTTGGCTGGGACCTGGATCTAGGAGTAACGTACAGGAGTGTTTCTGTTGGACGCGATTAGGACAGACACCGGCGAAATAATTCTACAACGATATCGCCTCAAATCACCATTTTCTGGTCACTAAAATAAAACTGAAACTGAGGAAACACTGGCAGACAACATCACACAAGTTTAATACAGCCTTTCTTCGGGATACCGTAAAACTCAACGAATTCAAGATCGCCCTCAGGCCTTGCACGATATACTCAATGGAGAGGAAGCAACATTGGAGAACAATTGGAAAGGGATTAAGGAGGCAATCACTTCAACATGTCAGGAGGTCCTTGGTCGCAAGAAGCACCATCACAAGGAATCGATCTCTGTTGATACTCTCGCAAAAATTGAAGAAAGGGGGAACAAGAAGGCAGCAATCAATGTCAAACAAACAAGAGCAGAGAAAGTTAAGGCACAAGCTGCATACACAGAAGCAAACAGGGAAGTGATGAAGAGCATCAGAGCTGACAAACGAAAATATGTGGAAGATCTAGCAATGACTGCGGAAAATGCTTCAAGAGACGGAAACTTGAGACAATTGCACGAAACAACAAATAAGCTCGCTGGAAACTATCGAAAACTAGAACGTCCAGTGAAAAGCAAGGAGGGTGAAGTAATCAGCAACACTGAAGAACAGAGAAATAGGTGTGTAAAGCACTTTAAGGAACTCCTGAATCAACCAGCTCCTCTGAACCCACTCAACATCGAAGCAGCATCTACAGACATCCCAGTCGATGTTGGCGCACCTACTGAAGAAAAGATCAGCATGATTTTCAGAAAAACCAAGAGCGGCAAAGCAACCGATGCAGACAACATTCCAAAAGGGGCAATGAAAGCAGACGTGGAAGCAACCGCAAAATATTTCACATTCTCTTCAACGAAATTCGGGATGAAGAACAAGTACCATCAGATTGGAAAGAAGAATACCTCATCAAAATACCAAAGAAAGGAGATCTCAGCAAGTGTAAGAACTACAGAGGCATCACTCTTCTCTCAATACCAGGCAATGTCTTCAACAGGGTATTGTTAAACAGAATGAAGGACTTCGTGGACGCCCAATTTCGAGATCAACAGGCTGGATTTCTTAAGGATCGATCGTTTACTGACCAAATTGCTACATTACGGATCATTGTGGAACAATCAATTGAATGGAACTCACCACTCTACATCAACTTGATCGACTACGAGAATGCATTTGATAGCGTGGATATGAAAACACTGGGGGATTCTTCGACACTACGGTGTGACTGATAAGATAGTCAACAAACTTCAAAATCATCCACGCAGGTCAGCTGACAAACTCGTTTGAGGTGAAGACCAGTGTCAGGCAACATTGCTTACTTTCACTCTTTCTCTTTCTCCTGGTGATCGACTGGAAATTTGAAGGCGTCAACATCTGGAGTGAAGCACGGTATCCAATGGACAGCAAGGACGCAGCTGGACGATCTGGACTTCGCAGATGATCTGACTCTTCTATCTCACACGCAACAACAAATGCAAGCGAAGACAACCAGTGTAGCAGCAGCCTCAGAAGCAGCAGGCCTCAACATACATAAAGGAAAAAGCTAAATTCTCTGATGCGAAATAACATGCATGTAATTGGGAGTATGTGATATTATCGTCATTCTTCAGTCTACTGACCATTATAAAAAGTTGTTGCGGATATGGTGTATATATAAGAAAAGATAGAAATACATCATGCAACATTTAGAATAGTAGGAAACGTGGATAGAAAAATGACAGACTCAGCGTATTTGATGCATGTTCGTTGTCGTCGCTCACCAATTATAGTGAGATAAAGAACTATTGTTCTTTGCGTGATTACCAAGTTAAATCCCGATAGATCCAGAAGTCAGACAGGAGACTGTTCTGGATGAAGAGGTATATTTGTCCGTGGCCTCGTGATATCGAAATAATATCATGACCGGAATAAGAAAGCAGCTAACAATCACCGAGGAGAGAAGCGGAATGGGTGCGCGAGAGATAGTCTATAGCACAGTTAAACAAAAGGAGTACAAAATAACAACTCTTGTTAGAATTAAGTACAATGATAAATGTTTCCATTTCAGCAGTTATCTTCGTAAGAGTACACCACTACAGCATAATCGGTTACTTAAGTTGTTTATTCTAGAAGCTAGGACATGTCGTAGAGGCCCGATACATTAGTTCACACCACACACCTTACTATGGTGTAATCGGATAATTCGAGGAAACGATTTCGACCTTCATGAAGTTCAACAACCCGTCTAACTATAATCGATCTACCGTGTAAAGTAAAAGCGGTTCAGCTAAATGGTTTATTTGGTCTCGGCATATTAACTTTTCACTAACCTTAATTTCATTAATATACTCATATCCCCGAAAACATACTAAGATTTCAGTCAGAAATAAGGCACTGAGCCTACTCAAAGGTATTTCACTCTTTATTCGAATTATATTCGGAAGATCTGTGATAAAACTTAGGTAAGAACAAACATCATATCACTACCAGAAAGTGGGATACCAACAACTCATTATCTCGGTAAAGATGCAAACATTATCTGAAATGCTGAAAGAATAGACGTTAGGACAACGGAGGTTTTCTCCTGCATCGGGTGCTTGAGATGCATAAATTATTTTCCTGATCTATTCGCAGTTATTTAGGTGATCTTGTATCCACATTGTAAAGTTCTGAAGATATCAGCAACAAAATATTTACAAAGTTTTTTCAGATAATGACCTGGGTGCTATAATTTCTTGCACCTTTGCCCCCTTGAAGATCAATTGCCATCAAGATCAATATAAGGTTTAAAAGTTGTGATTGGAGAGTCGAATGATTGAATTTCATTTTTCCTACTAGGTGACCAGATACTGGGCAAAAAATAAGTTCACAGTTTCGAAAAAAGGACCTATTCGTCGTTATCTACCGAAAAGATAAGTTAATCTACTATTCTTGATGTTGCGTTAAATGAACAGCCTGCTGAATGCTCAATCTCCAATGGATTTATGGTTGACCCGCGCACTTAACACTTGTATTGACAGATTCATATCGGTTTTGTTGTGCAGATTCACTATGAAGTGTTTTTCGAAAATTTTAGTTCCGATAGGGATTGAAATTATAAAGATTATTGTTTACGCTTACGAGTATCTTACATGGCCATTGTACTACTTATTCAGCAAAACATTGAGGTATATGCCTCTTCCCAACTCTCCCGTGGACAGCGACTGGACTTATAACGAGGAAGAAAGTCGAACTTTGGCACTTCCTGTGCGTGAAGGTGACCCTGGTTCGCCATGGAGAGCATTTGAGGCCCTTGATGGCCTGACCTGTTCACTTCCTGGGTGCAATGATTTGGTTGATGTTTGGCTTCGCACAGTTAAGTTGTGGCCTGATTTGCCGGCGTTTGGAACACGAGCCATTTTACGTACGGACTACAGAGTAAGCTCCTTTAAAGGTGTATTTTGGCCCCAGTGTTTAAATAATTTCTCTAAACAAAGTAAAGTAACAGGTTTTTAGTTCGTGTTCTTTCGTTGCAAGTCTTTGAAGCTAATAGCTGTGGCAATGCATTTTTTAAAATTCCAGCTAGCATTTGTAAAGTGAGGGAGTATTCAGAATGAGTCGTTGAAACATGCAATAATTCTACTTATCTAAGGTCTTGAGTTCCAACATCATTTCATACCACTATCTCACTATAATTGAGAATTGTTGTTTATTTGCAGCCTTTCAACCATTGATAAAATTATCTCGAATTCCTTACGGTAAATTTGATAACTTATTTTTACAGTGTTACTGTTCTGCGGTGACTCGGACTGATTCACACTTATATCATACCTTACGCCGGCTATGACTGACTGGATCACTGAGATCTTGTTAAATATCTGGTATCCATCACGAAATACATATTGCGCCTGTCCATTATTATTTGTTGAATAGCTAAGGAAGTGTCCCACATTATTTTTTGTATCTGGGTCTTTTGACCTTCTAATATCGGGACTAAAAACATGGCACAAATCCATGAAGTCACTGACAAGTGGACTAAGTAATGTCGGTAGGTGTCGACTACCTGGTTGGGGTCCGCGAGACGAAAGTCACCAATCGTTAGAGACCTTGAACGACATGGCTCAAAATCGTTTGCAATGGTGCAAGTGCATCCATTCTTTGAGCTCTCTCAAATCCTAATCTGGATTAGCCAGCACCTCTACCTTTGTCTTTCTAACCTTATTTCACTTAATTATACTTCTTGAATAATATCTTCGAACCCTAGTCTTCTTCATTACCATTAATACCTCTTCTATGTTTATCACTATGGGATTTGATTTGACATCTGCGTCTTTGTGCTAATGTGGTATGGCAACATGAACTTACGTACATACGTACGTAGTTCTACGTTGCAACTGGCTGACTGTTTGGGTGTCGCGGGGCATGTTTTTTCAGCCCATCATGCCACTACAGTATATAACAAACCGTATTTCGGATACACCTCTTTATAGGTACATCAGACCCTAGTATTATTGCAGAACATAAATGGGTTTCATGTGAAAGTTTTGTACATTTTACGTAATATAAATGTCGTTAATTTGCATTGTAAAACTACGATTTTTTTCCCATGTTAGTGAAAACAGTGATTCGCATATTATAGTGTGGATGATATACGTAAGTTTTAGTGAGTTTTCTTTTTTTTAACGAGTATAATAGTTAGTATCTATCTGTCTGTCTATAATGGTTAGTATGTATTTTATACAAGAAATTCATGTGTTGTGTTTATTATATATCTAAATTTCTTGACTTTATTTTACATCAGCCGAGTCCAGATGGACGGCAAATGATTGAGCTCACTTTGGGTGAGTACTCTTGGGAAACATTTTTGGAGGCCGAGCGCCGAGTATCTCGTCTATCAGCCGGTTTGTACTCAATGTTAGGATCCATAAAAGAAAACAAACAGCCCATTGCATTATTCAGTGAAACAAGGGCTGAGTGGATGTTTGCTGCTCAGACTTGCTTTCGTCTCAACCGACCTGTTGCTACTTTGTATGCTACTCTTGGTGATGATGCATTGGTGCACGGATTTAACGAAACCGAAGTCAGTCGCTAGTTACACTTATAATATACCTTTTTTTATTGGTTACATATTTCCAAATTCACTTAACATTTTATATTTTGCTTAAAGTAATCCCCATTCACAATCAAACCTAACTATAAATTATTTGCTTCGGAACGATTATCCTGCAGTAAACTCATATAATGCTGTTTCACCAGTGCTTATTTAACTTCATTTTCATCCTGGCTACGATCGGCTGGTGACCTGAAGCTATATGAACTCCTTTGTTCTCACATTTCCCATGGTTTTCTTAACTTTTTATTGACACATATTTGGTTGATTTAGTTGCCAGTAGTGTCCGGTGAAACCCATGTAGCTTTGTATATGTCTGCGTTGCTACTGTCGGTGGGTGATTGGCATTAGGTCTTATTAATTGTTATTTCCCTTATCTTTTAGGATGTTTTGATGATGCAGGGTTCGTGAGATTCCCATCCTTTAAGTGCTTTCCGTACTTTTTTGGACAACATCAGTGCAACTCTGTGTATGCGAATCATTTTCTTCATGGTTGGAGTCAAGCAGCTGGTCTTTTCTGTCCAGCTTGTTTTTTAACGGGTTTCACTGACTTAAAGTAACTTCAGGCTATCTTTTCATTTCTGAAGCAATGTGAGTGGTCCTCCATGTCTCCCACATCGTTCGGACACTCCGTGTTCCTATGTTGATTGTTGTTCTAGATGTCAGAAGAGATATCGGCCTCGTGACTTCCGAATAAACTATCTTTTCCCTTTTGGGCGTCCTAACACATCTAGACAAAGACCCTTCAACTCACAGGGCAGAGTTTGAATGATTCAAAATGCTTTTTCCAGTTAGCATCTTTTACAAGGTTGTTTTTTATGGGATGGGGCTGTGGGTTCTCTGTTCGTTCCCTCTCCTGTAGCTGAGTTTGAGGACTACGGTAGCCATAGAAGGGTTCTAGGTGGAGTTAACTGGACAGAATTATGGTAATCAAGTAATCGGACTTGTTAGTAAATCACGATGGAAGTACACTAGCGGCAGAATGTAATCCACCTTGAACGCTAGCAATTTTAAACAGCGTTACCAAACTTTCAAGTTTAGTTTGTTTCAGAAATATCAAACCACAAAGCGTTCCTTACGCAGTAAGTGAAGTATGATATATTGAAACAAACAAAACCATCAAAAATACATACAAAATTAACTCATCAGTTCCAAGTAGAGCGAAAGATAATTTGTTAAAGAACTTACCGATTAGGTTGCAGATTTTAACCTCAATCTCCGGTCTCATAACCTGGTAGTGTCACTAGCGTTCACACATTGTGGTTCAGCGCCGAGTGCTTTAACCTACCTATACTCAGTGAGTTACCAAGCTGACTAATTCCTATGAGTATTTCACAAGACAGTAGCTGAAACTGTCAAATAGGATGTTACATTAACTGGATTTCTCTGAGAAAGATGATATTTTAGCTCCTCAGCTAGTCAGTTATTACTATTATTGTTTCCGGTTAACCGGAAGATCATTTTCATTGCTTGTAGGAACATTTTTCGTGGTTTCAGTCAACAGTGATTCCTATTTCTTTTTCAAACAATATAAAACCAGTTAACGCTGCATATTCAGAAATTTTTTTATGTGAACTTTATTTTAATCCCAGGCTGTGGTCGTGTTTACAAGCGATGAGCTGTTGTCAAAAGTAATTAAAATTGTCCCAAGATGCCCCTCAATTCAACGTATTATTTATTTTACCAACGGAGTTTTTAATCGGGAACTTTACACGGAAGTTGATAATCTGGCTGTTCCCTCTGGAAGTGCTACTGCCAGTGTTGCAGAAGCTCTGACAAAATGTCCTCCGAATTTACATATCCACGATATCGTTGAAGTCGAACGTTTGGGAGCTGCAATAATCATGAAAGATAAAGAAAAACAAAAAGAAAAACAAAATGATTCTACATCTACAGGAGTTAATGATCACTCATTAAACGGTTATGAAGATTTATGGATGCCTCCTGCATCAGAACGTGCCACTCCCTCGGATTTAGCTGTAATTATGTACACAAGTGGATCAACAGGTATAAATTTAAAATATATCTAAGTGATTTTAATACCTAATTTTAACATTTATATTTTGTAAGTCATATTAAGTTTCTATAGCGTATTTGTACCTCTACTTTATTATTCCTCAACCTGGATATAAATACTTAGATCTTGGAAATGTTTTTACAAGATATTTGCTAGTATTCTGTAAGTTAAATTGCATGTAAACAAATAATTTATTCCTTATACATAGAAATTATTGGTGAAAATCGTTACCGTGCAAACTGTTTATGTGAACCAGTTAACTTATGATTTTCTGTGCTGTTTTAAAACATTAGGTACGTTACGACAGTGAGCTTAGGTAATTTTAAAAGCAATGATATTTCAGTATTTTGAACGGGCAAATCTCCATTTATTGAATCATTTAGTAGTTTCATTCCCTTACACTGAAACAGCATTTGACTGTGTGGATCGAAAGTCTTGGCCGATACATACTCACTTGCTCATCAATATCATATTTGAGATCCTCGAATAAGACTGTGTTGTATAGCATCCAATTTTTGAGTTTAGCTAAGACCTATACTTGGCAGCAAGTCGGATTATTTAGACTGACAGTATCAATTAGGCAACCTATCATTTTAATAATAATATCTCTAGTTAATTTCCTGAATTTTTTTTATCACATTGTTCATGTGTTATTACTTAAACTAGTTTCTATGTCATATATTTCTTAGACCTAATAAATAATTCTCTGTTTCAATCTCTAATTACTGATAGAACTGCTGAACTAACTGTGAATGTGAAACCAAAAGTGTTTCCGTTTATGACATAACTACTTAAAAATTTTCATGCTGCTTTTTCGAAGGAAATAAAGAAACACCGCAATAGGTTCACTACTGATCTCTATTCTGAGTTGCCTGATATTGTTTCAAGCCAATGAATTGCTTGACCTTTAAGATCACACCCACGAGGTTGTGATGGACCAATATATTTTGGTCTTTTGCGAACTCTGCACCCATTGAACCCGTTTAAGCATTGAGTCCTCTCTGGGTGTTTTTTTTTCTCCGTGTTTAGACTAATCTTTTTGTGATCTTCAATGTGATATAAATTCATTTTTATTTGTCAAACTACTGATGTAAAAAGTGTAAACCACACATACAAAATTAATTCATATTTCTTTACTTTTCGTATACTATTCCTTAATCTTCTCTCTTCTCTTTCTCGGTTTCAATGAGTAAAATCTATTACAGTCATATCATTACTACTCTTCAATTCAAGTTCACATAAACACAGTGGTATAAATAAAAATTACTGTAACATTTTTGTATGAGTGAATAAACGATTAATACAATCAAAGTTCATACAAAAACGAAAGAATATTACTAGTATTAATAGTGTTAAGTATGCATACATACATACAACTAGTAAACTTTCAACGACTTCCCATAACAAGAATGAAATTATAGGTATGCCTGTTCTACACACTGGATTACAAGAGTTATGTTAAGCCTTCTTTAATTTGTGTCATTTTAGACTAGATGTTGCTAAAACGTTGGGTAAAACTACTTATGAATCGCTTGATCGTGTCCGTTCAGTAAATGCTTGCTATCTGAGTCTGATGAAAGTCATACTGAGCGATTCTGACTACAGTTTTTGTGGAAATAGTTCTTTTTCACTTGTCAACGTTCACTTCAATATCTAACGTATTTTATTTCTCTACTTAAATTAAGTATATGGATACATGTTTATGGCAATACTGTAGTTGCTTTTCGTTGATCGATTGAACGATTATAGTGGACTGTTATGAACGGTTAATATAGCTCTCAATGAAGTCATCGATAACTGAACTGAGCCATGTTAGCAAGTGTAGACCACCTGGTTGGGGTCCGTGATTCAATTGTAACCGGTGATTGGAGGCTTTGAATGACATGACCAAGAGTCTTGCAATAGCTCAGGTGTATCCATTCTTTGTCTTCTCTCAAATCCTAAACTGAATTCCCCGCGACCTTTTTCTCCGATTTGTTCCACTGAATTATACTTCTCGAACCATACCGTCGGTCCCTAGTCTTTATTATTAATAAATAATGCAGTATTGCTTAACAACCACATGCCGATTCCTGTACCTGTGTAAAATCTACTTTGTATTCTTTGCCCAGTTTAAACCTCAATAGATATTACAAGTTCATGATTTACAGAGTAGTAGTTAACTGCATGTAATCCACAGCGCTACTGAATCAAAAACACATTATGTTAACTAAGTTAAACAGATAGTGTGTTCACTCAAGTCTACCGACAATATATGTATACAAGTAAATATTTATATTAAAATATCTATCCGATTCCTGATTAGTCTTTGGTATTTATTTCTAAAATGCACATTGTATTTACTTATAAAGATTAATGAATTCTATTTGATGTAAACTAAAAACCTTATTGCACGCATTAACTTGTAAAGGGGCAGTATATATATATATATATATATATATATATATATATATATATATATATATATATATGTTAGACGTCATTATATATTTTGTGCATTGGGTGTGGTCGTCATAATTACATTGGTCACCTTTAATTTGTTATCATGACATACATGTATATGAATTAGTCACAATTGAATACATGACTCACTTAATAGTGAATTAATTCATTTCAACAACTAAGTCGAATGGATATGAAAGAAATACTCTGTTACAATTTTTCAGTATGAGAATTGTTAGTCTTAACATTCAAAAATAATCGATTCATATTTCAATCTTTATTAGAATTTTTGTTCTAATGAATTAGTGAAAATATTCTTTTTAAAATTAGTTGTGGAATGTGTGTATTTTCGTCAATTCCTATAAAATATAGAGGACTTTCTCCTATTGTGTTAGTTTTATATGTATGGAATGGTTTAGTGCATTTTCGGCTGTGTTTATAAATAAATAATCTTATTTCCGATAGTGTATTTACGTTGTATTTTCAAACTTTACTTTATCTACCTTTGGTTCAGCCGGCTGGGTATTGTCACTAGGATCTATAAAAGTGTGATTTTGAACGGGAAACAGATAAATCTGTACTTGGTTAGAGAGTTATGCGAATAGTGTTATTAATTAGTCTGGTCATAAATGACTAGTATCTTCTCTCTTTTCTCTTAACTGATATAAGACAAAGAAGCTTGGTTCAAATGAGTACGAAACTGTAACCTATGCTGATTTCTTTTATTTGAAATGAGTAGACAACTCCCAATCAACCACCTTACTCTAAATTTACTTGATAGTTTGTCATTTTTCTCTCTGTAAGTTAAGTCTATGTCTTGGTGACATACATACCTGGCGCTTTGATAGGCATTTCGTCCTAATCTGACCTAAAATGCATCAGTTTGTTACCTTTAAAGCAGTTTAATAATTATTACATCGTATATCAAGTAGATTTCGTATTTCTTTTGTACATTTTGTAGGTCAACCTAAAGGTGTTGAAATGACTCATGAAAATCTAGTAAGTGCTATAGCTGGTCATCTGCAACGTTTACCGAAACTTCGTAGTAACTACGACATATATGTCGGTTATCTACCACTAGCTCATGTTCTAGAGCTTACCTGTGAACTATCGTGTGTCATTATGGGTGTACGAGTAAGTTTCATGAAAATGTTTTTCTTATCATTTTACTACAACTTCTTGTTTAAAATATCCGTTTAAATTACAATAAAAAAAAACAACAGGTGTAGCGAAGTAATACGAATTCCTTTATCGTGCGAATTCTTCCTAGTTGCTCACAACAATAGTTTCAATCATTAAAACCAAAACAAGTGCATATGTTACACCAGAAAAGTCTTGATTAATGTTGAAGCTAACATATATGTAGAATTGTAATCAACAGACAATAATTACGCTGAAGAGTCCCATACTAAAACGATACGACTGTCCAATACTTTCAGTTTTTTATTAGTAGTCTAACTTAGATTGGTTCAATATTTCAACAGTGTGTATACACTTGTCTATTTACAGGATGATTATACAAATACTTTGTTTAAAAGAATTGAAAAGTGCATAAAGATGAAATTTTAGTAAAGGAAGATCATTCCAGAGGTTACATAAAATACTGATTGTCAATCAGAAAAGGGAAACAAAGAAAGGAAATTGAATTAAGGGTGTGAAAAAATTCAGTGTTACATAACCAATTCGTAAAGTCAAGGTCATCAAATCAAAAAACAATTGACTTTAATATTTTTATAATAATGCAGATGTTCTTTACTGTGATATACACCATGGCTTTATTATAGATCAGGTATTTCAAGTGAAATTGACACAAACTTATTTGTGGTTACTAAGCTTCGTTATGATATTATCAATAAATTTCTTTACAGATCGGTTACTCCAATCCGCAAACATTAACGGATACTTCATCTCGTATTAAACGAGATTATTGCTTAGGTGATGTCAGTCTTCTCCGACCTACTCTCTTTGCCAGTGTACCTACTGTATTAGAACGTATTTCCAAAGCTGTTTGGGAAAAAGTGAATGCTGGGGGTGAATTTCTTCAAGCTGTAAGTTCACATTCAAATGTTTCTAATTCATATGTTCTACGTTGAAAATTATTAACAGTCTTTTTAACGTCATAATCATCGTTTATAGGAAGTGAGCTCTCAGATTGTTAATGTTCACTTCTTTCCACAAAATTCTGCAGTGTATAGTAGTTAAACCGTTTAACCTTGAAACATCGGGTCGCAGGTTGAAGCCCTTCTGCTACATGCCTTTCCTAATTGGCTGCCTAGGTATAGGCATGCAACTCACACACTAACAATTCGCCCAAAAACTGAGTATATAAATCAGTGCTATGTAGTTGAAGTACCACTTATTTTGAAATTTTCATAATACACACAATACTTTGACTTGTGAAGCTATTTTGCATATCTTTGTCGATAGAGTGTTTATTGTCACTCAAGCGCCAAATTGTGAACTCTTTCCGTTAACCTTCAGAATCCAGACATTTAACTGGTTTTTATCTGATTAACTAAGTACCCGCTATTAATAAAAACGGTAATCATCAATAGTGGATTGCATTACATTGAATTACTTCTAAAAATCTAATTTTATTAGCATTAAAATACAAACATCATATTGAAGTTCTTGTTTGTACTCTATAGTTCAGAATTCATAAATTGATTAACTGTAAATAACTTCGGTGTGGATGACCCAATTGTTGTGATATGTTGACAGTTTTACCATTTAATTGATAGAAATTATTAGTGGTAGTGATTCAGCATAGGGTCATGTTTACTTTAGGCTAAACAAAACATTGTTATTACCATTAATTGTACACGTGTGTCACCGTGTGCTTGATTTTTTGGTTTTAAAGTTAATCTGTATCACATTGTGCCTGTGTGTGTGTGTGTGTGCGCGCGTTTTAATTCTTATCTACATTTAATCTATACAGCTTGATAACTCCTAATTAAGTTAATCAATTGTGTAAAATTACTTATTTTTTTTTCATAGTCAGTTGATTATTTGTCATTTTGTTACATAAGCACAATTATTCTATGCAATCTCACATGTTATGACCAATGATGATAATAACAGTAGTTGTTATTCGCATATTAGCTCATGTCGTTTTGATTGTAGCACTATGTCTTTTTGATTGACAACACTATTCTAACAATCGTATCAGTTTTTTGTATGATTATTTCTGTTGTTAGCATGTGGTGATAATGATAACGATGATAATATCGTAACATGAAGTGTTAATTGGCAAATATAAATAATAAAATGATATGTTATCTATGTGTATTGGCATTTGTCTGGATAAAGTGTTGACGTAGAACTTTGTAAAATATTGTAATTTAATAGCATTTATCTCTTTGGTACAATTTTAACTAGTTTTACTTTAATGTGATGCTCACTGGAGAATGACTGACGATTGATTTTGAAAGTTGTTTGAAAAAAAAGTTGAGCTGAAAGATTTCTGATTTTTCAAACATACAACGTATGGAAAATTACTCTAAAATCTGGTTCAATCATCATTTTGACAGACTTAGAAAGTGCCAAACTGTGAATCTAAACAGGGCTTACTCAAATTATCGCTTTTGTTCATCAAGGTACATTCCCAGTTTAGTCAATCCATAAACTTGATAGTGAAAGAAACTCTGGAAAACTAACAAAGATCTAACCAAATGATTTTAATAGCTTTTGGTGCTAGTGTATAATGAGTCGCAATATCTTACAAGTGTGATACACGTTCTAAATTCCACTGTTGTCACCTGATCAATGGTTTTCGTGTGTGCAGTTTATAGTTGTATTGTGCGACTGAATTTTTAAAGCTGTTTTCTATTAACTATGGGTTCCTCAAAATGAGTTTCTCTAGTTAATTGAAAAACGGATTTGTTTTAAATGATATTGCCATCCCAGATATGATATGGTTAACAGCAAAAAAGAATTATCCAAGGGTAAGAAATGATTTGAACTAGTTTTGATCCCTAGGTCAAGTTATGCGGTTTTCTACCTTATTTTTCCGTTCGACTTTTTTGCTATAGAAATATCTGTTAGTATTAGCTTGTTCATGTTAATCTTTTAGTCTGTCATCTGTCATATTTCTTTCACATAGCTCTTCAAATTTGCATATGCTTACAAATGTCGACGGATTCACGGTGGTTTCCCAAGTTTCCTTGTGGATCGATTGGTTTTCCGTAAGGTCCGATCACTTATGGGTGGACGGATTCGCTATATTGTTTGTGGTGGAGCACCATTATCAGAAGAATCGCAATTATTTACAAATATATGCATTGCACCTATTGTACAAGGGTAAGACTCGCTTTTCGATTACTCATGCACTTATATTTATTGGATAAAAATGTATTCTGTGAAGGTTTTCCTAACTTTTATCTCAGCAAATAGGCTAAATGTGTAGTGTCAAATATCATTATCACTATTTTATTAAGTTTTCGCTAGATAGGGAAGTTAAAAACCGCTGGTTACACTTTGCACTCAACAAACGGTCACATATCTGTACTCCGCTCTATCTGTTTTGTTTGAATAACACTACACCTATATTTGGTAAGCTGTATTCTTTACTATTCAACTAATTACTGATTGCCAACTAGCACGGTTCTCAATCAAAAGTTTTATTTGAAACTTAAAGTAACCATTGATTACTGCAAACATATGGATTATTTACCACTTTTTTGAAAACAACAATCGATCAGTGATTATGTAGCCATCAATTTAATTCTTCTCAGTTAATGTCGGTCTATTTTTATTGAACAAAACACATCGAATTTAGTTTCACAAGCAGTCAACCACAGATCTAAGTATTCTGCTACCGTTTTGTTGTGTATGAAAATCGCTATTTATCGATTTTATGAAAGAATAAATGTATATCAGAATTTGTATCACTTTATGGAGAGATGAACAATAGTTTCTAATTACCTGATCACCAATATATATTCAAGCACATGAATCGAGTTTATTTATACATGATAGAAACGTCCTTGGGACAGTCACAAAAATAGCGTACTAAAATAATGCATCAACCGAGTGGGAAATGTAATCTCAGGGTCAACTGATCAACCTATGCGCTAAAACATAAAATCCAAAATTAGGACCTTTATTAAGTGAGTTCTGGGGATCTAACGTCCCCAACAATATAGTGTCTCTGTTCATTTGATTTGTGTATGGTTTATATATATTGTACATTGCACATTGTTTTCTTGGACAATATGGTTTTCATCAACTGACTTGTCAAAGCGCATCGAGATATGGTTTATGGTATTCTTTTTCGGAACTTGTTTCTGATTATAACTCATCATCGTTACAATCCAGTTTGTATTTTACTTTTTAAAACATTCATGATCTAATTTACTTCATAGATTTACATTTGATTTTATTGAGTTAGTTTAAACATTAGGGGTATAATGTTTGTTGTTTATTTTACATATCTTGTTTGATTCCTGGAATTACATCACTTCTTTGTTGAAAATACTGTAGTTGTGACTTTATAAACTATTCCGCATGTTTCAACAAAAAAAGGCTTCAAATGCTTTACTAACAAATTTCTTTTACAGCTATGGGCTTACTGAGTCATGTTCCACTGGTGCTTTGATGGAGTGTGGAGATCTCCGGTGTAATCACGTTGGAGCACCTGCTTCTACTCTCCAGATTCGTTTAAGAGCATGGCCTGAAGGTGGGTATTCTCCCTATGATACACCATCTCCACGTGGGGAGATCCTCTTATCTGGTAAACCGGTTTCTCGAGGCTATTACAAGCAACCTGAATTGACAGCCAGAGATTTTATAACCGATGAAGATGGCACACGTTGGTTTTGTACTGGTACGTTTCTCGTAATTAGCTGTCCCAGTTATGTTATCAGCTAATGTTTGTTTTACTATGTTTTAACTTAAGATTCCAGATCAATCATTGAACTTCCTTTTTATACCAAACAAAATTAACTATTATTCTCAATAGCCAAGAATCATATCTGGTTATTTATTTTAGGTAAATTTAATTGGGACATAATAAAATTACTAATTGCAAATAAGAATTTATACTTCTGAATCGTTCATGCCAAGGTGAAACATGTATCTGTTGTGTGGTTCATCTTCAAGCTGGATAGGTTCACTGAAACCACCTATTGGATAATGTTGTTTCTTAATATTTTAGTTGGCTTTACTTGACATTTGTTAGGCATTGTCTTTGCAACTGTTCATCTACTCATATAGTATTATGATAAAACATTATCAAAGTGTTTATTCAAGATTGTTTCAACCATTCAAGATATTTATGGACATTTATCACTTATTGCTTGATGATAATAATGTTAATACGTGTACAAGAAGTGTGAATTCACTACTATTTGAGCCTTTATCCAATTAAAATGTAATTATAATTCTTCTATGTATGCATCTACTGTGGCTAATGTAATCTTTGCAAAACTAATATTTCCAAAAGTCACTACTGTATTTGCATAGTTGTGTAGATTATTTCACAACCAAATACGAGAAATCGCTATAGAGTTAATTTCAGTTTTATTACTCACTTATATTTTTAGACTCAATATATATTCACTAAATTACAGTGTGAATGAGTTTTTACACACATAAAAGCACTATTGTTGTTCACATTTTTATTCTTGTGAATTTAATTTTTTCAGGGGATATTGGTCTAATGCATACAGATGGAAGTTTATCAATAATTGATCGTAAAAAAGATCTTGTCAAACTACAAGCTGGAGAATATGTTTCTCTTAGCAAAGTTGAAATGGCTCTTAGTCAATCACCTTATGTTGAACAAATTTGTGTCTATGTAGACCCATTGCAAAATTATCCAATTTGTTTCGTGTCACCAAAATCAAAATCCCTTACTGATTTGGCAGAATCTCTGAACTTACTTCATTTACTTCAAGAAGCTCGTTCAAAACTACCTGTAGAATCAATGAAAGATCCAATTGCTATAGAACATGTAGAACGGGTTGTTCTCTGTAAACATCCTCTGGTGAGTTTTATACATTGAAAAGAATATCACTGTAATAAATAATTGAACTCAGGCATAGAATGAATATGAAATTATATTTCTATATTTAATTTTTTGATAAAACCATTGTCTCGTTACCTTATAATCACGTAATTCATGGTTAGTTCCATTCGCCCTATTACTAACTTCATTTAGGATCGTAAAAGTCACACCATATAGTGTGATATAAGTGTCCTTTCTAAGGTCACTCTCGTCTCTGCTAATCCTATTGGTCAATAAATGTGTGCGTCAAGTTACTAGTGGAAACATAAATTGATTTACTTTTATATAGCGATTTTATGTAATTATTACATGGATACCATAATAAAATTGTTTGCTAACTGTGTAATCTAAGTGCTTTTTGTATCTAATACATGTTTCAGCTATGTTTACAGTCTCATGTATTGTTTGCCTAGATAAAATAAATAGTTATAAGCCAAGAGAATTTTATTTCGTTGCATGACTTAGAGAATTCCATCTGATCACCATTGTGCAACGAAATAAGTTGCTATTCATTTGCATTAGTTGTTTAAAGCTTCCCGTTGATGTTATAGACTGAACCTGTGAGAATTACCTGGGTACTGCCATTATATCGCAAGCCATTAAGTATCTGGACTCAATAGCTAAGTGGATAACGCGGTTGGTGTTTAAGGCTTGTGACTTGATGGTATTATCGAACCAATCCTCATGGTTCTATATGCCTAAAGGACTGATCATTTGCATGCAGTCTGTAATATCTACGGCCAGATTCAAACAGCTAATACCAATGAAAATGAAAGATTTGTTCATTCTCTGACGTAAAATATCAATTAATATCTGAACGAGTTAATCCGATGATATCGCATCATGCATTATTCACTGATATCACTGTCGAATTAGCTTATGCAAAAGTAAAATGCCTGCACCAAATCGAATGTATCTTATAATCTAATTATTGTTTTTTCAATTTGAACAACTACTTTGATCACATAAACTTGTGATGTAATTAGAATTCAAACAGATACACTGCATTATTTACCAAGTAGCAAGTGACTATAATGGAATACTTTAGAACCTTCTAGTCTCAAGAGAGAGAGATTAGTTTAGTCAGTTTTGTTTCTAATTAAATTCTATTAGGAAATTCGTTTATAATCTTCATTTATGGTTTAAATCTTTTGTGTCACTATGATCCTTTACTTGTTCTATTTTATGGTGTTGATTGATTAAACAATCTGATTATGTTATTTAGGATAATATTTGTTGTTGATCGATCAGTCAATCCTAATTCACAAGTGATACGCCTTACCTATAGATGAAATCTCATAACGAGGTGTTAATTGATTGAAGAGTCAATTGCTCATAACGTTCTATTTTATAATTCCGGTTTCCCGAACTAATTCACTTGGCTGTGATTTCAGATCATCCAGAGGCTAAAGTCACTGGTTTAGTTTCGTGAGTAGCTACCACTCTGCCATATTTTGTATCTATTGATCAGTATTCTTGTTGTTTAGTTTAACAACTGAACATTTTATTCATTAACTTAAAAAGAATCCTACTCCTAAACATGTCAGTCACCATTATTTCACTACTTTCAATTGTTTTCGTGAAAGTATCTTTAGCAGATAAAACTATAAAAACACAGAATTTTAGCATGATATTGCTTAAAAAGGATGATATGTAATTTGTATTAACTTCATTGTCCAATATCTGATTAGTGTTTAACTGACTTTTTTCCATATAATTTTTTTTCATTATTCTAGATTATACAAACTGTATTAAAAGATTTACAACGAGTTGCCAGAGAAAAACGTTTAAGTACATTTGAAATACCACAGAAACTTGCTTTAGATACTATAGCTTGGACACCAGATACTGGTCTTGTAACAGATGCATTAAAATTAAAACGTTTCAATTTACAAACTCGTTTTCAACATGAAATTGAAGAGCTCTATCGTAAAGATACACGAGCATAGTGAATCAATCGCTTGATATTAAATATTATTATTCATCAAATGGAATATATAACTAAATCAATAAATAATGAAATGTATGCAGTACATTCCATCGTTCTCATTAATATTTATTGTGTATGTCAATGGATATTATACCTACAGCTTATATTTGTATTCATCACTTGAAATCGATTCGAACAGTTGTCACAATCAAATCAAAGCATATATATATATATAAATATCAATATATTAAGAAGTCGATTCATCATTTCTCTTCTGTTTTGTCAATCAATTATTGTTGTATTCAAGTTACAGAACGTACTTATTTATAGTCGTCAAGATACTCCATGTGTATGTACTTGTCAAGTTATGTACGTACATTAACTTTGGTCACTGACTGAATAGTTCGCCTTTCTCTTCAATTCTACCCTTATTATTGGTTATATTTGTCTATGGCTTCCTCATAGTTTCCTAAAGTATAATTTTTCCACGCATTCTGATTAATCAGCTTTCTTAGAGTTGTATCATCTCTTTCCTCCTCACCCCATTTGTCTTCTCTCTCTTTAAAATCATACTCATAGTAATAATGACAATATGCATACTGTATTTAAAGTTGTTAATAACAAAGATACAAATCTTTTTCGATTTGTATTATATTATTCATTAATATAATAATAATTATTATTATTTCACAGGTCTCATTTATGTTATCTACTGTTACTGTTATTCTGTCATTAAGTATTTGCGGTGCCACCTGTTGATTATTTTTCTTTGTAGTTTGTCATATTTCTGATCGTCTTGAAGACATTTTGTGTATCTTTTATAATCGTAGTTCGATGTTCACTTTGTATTCAATGTAATAAAATAGTGCTAACTCATTCACCTCATTAGTTTGCCATTGACACTTTGTCATCATGCTTAAATTATTGAATTCTGTGACGTGGATGTGTGTGTGTGTGCGTACCTCCGCGCATTCATGTTTATATAAATATGCATAAACAAATTTGTGAAAAAAAAAATAGTAATATCTTAAGCGCATACATTTAATTTTCGTGCATAGACATACTCTTCCATTCATTGTTCACCAATCCTTGCAAAGTACACATCGTTGTTTTATTTACAGGTGAAGGTAGTTGATGACAACTTTGTGTGTGTGTGTGTGTGTGTACTGATTTCATTCATCACTTATTTGTTCCTTTTGTAAATTTTCATATTTGTTTTCCATCAAAAAAAAATCATTCGTGGAGTATTTTTTTTAACATTTTTTCTTTACTTACCGACAGTTGTGCATTACAAAATTTTGCTCCAGCCATTGTTAGTAGTGCTATACATGCCATTTGGCTGAGAGGAATTAATTCTTGATAGAAAGTTTATGTGACTAGAATTGAAATGACACTGTGGAAAATGTTTTCTTGGATGTTGGAATTTGATTTATCGGATATTATTTCCTGCCTTGAAGATACTCATAGATTTGTAGTATACCAATGCCCGATCGTATCTGCTACATTGACGTGACGGTCGGGCTTGTCTATCGTGATGACCTAAATGAGTTATATTAGCTAGAACATATGTTCCTTTAGGTCCTACTGTGCCGGCAGGTCGATTTCAGAACTAAGACTCAAAGCATCAATTTAGGGTCTGAGGGCGAAGTCGTACTGCTGACTGTATAGAGGTGTGACAATAGTAAGGTGTTTCCCTCAGACAACCAGCATCTGCAGCGATGCTGCCTTTTCACAAGGAAGAAAGGGGTTAGAAGAGGTCGACCCTAAAAATGTCACACATTACCTTACCCTGCGGATTCCCGTCTCCGGCAGTAAGGCCTTTTGAAGGGCGGAACTAACATAAAATCCTCCATTATAAAGGCTGTGCATGATCAGCCTCACGGAGTTATCTCTTGAGCCATGCGGTTGTGCTCCCAGGTCACTAAGACCAACACTAATCCAACTTCTTTTTTTAGTTCCCCATGAAACACCCACTATGTGGCCAGCACTCAAGATCAAATTGGTCATAATCGAATCCTTCTTACATCTAATAACTCTCTTATCTCCACAACCAACACTTCTTTCATTCCTTCATCACCTCTCGCCTCTAATGCAAACAATTTGAGTACACGAAACGTTATTCCAGGTCTCTTGAAACTACGCTCTAAACTACTTGTTGGAGCTTTTAGTGTCTGGACATTGTGCCAAATAGGACAACAGACGTACTTAGCGAGGTCTCTAGAGTACCGTACTATGGATGTACGCTGCGTCTCCGAAAAGCGCATACAGTATCCGAGTAGAATCATTCTTTCGATCTTGTCGTTTATCTGGAAGCCTCATTCCTGCTTGCTGATGTAAGTATAGCATTAAGTTCCAAGGTAGAACTAGTTCTCTTAGACTGGGTTCCAGTAGGTAATCATTTGTGCTTTTAAACGGGGTCGTAAAGACTCGCGAAGATAGGTACAATCGCCATTGCCCTCTCGTTGTCTCTGCCTACACTTCCACTGACTGCAGCTCAGACCAGGTAAAGGACAAATTTTCCAGAAAGTTTTTCGTTCTTCAAATATCTAAACGCTGTTGTAGTGGTAGGGGTGGGTGATTCTAATGCTCAAGCAGATAGGCTAAGCGAATCGGTTAGACACCTGGGTGTATCTTATGGTGTTGCGGTCCAAAGATCAAGTAATGACGACCGTCTGCTGTAGCTATGCTCCCAGCATTGGACCCGACGAGGCTACATCGCAGTCAGCCACCGATGGAGAGGCTCGATAGAAGACCGGAGCACATGTTTGGGTTCAGATCATGCTCTAGTACGAGCGCATGTTTCTCTACAGCTTACCGGACGTAGGAAGGACGCCAATAAAACCTCAGAGTTGTACTCAATGATAGCAAAGTTAAGACTATACTTAACAAAAAACTAGAAAAACAGTTATGCAGCGATACAGTAAGTGATGCCTTCCCCGAGGTAGCTTGGAATGATATCCGAAAATCCGTAGAAACTGCAGTGATATCTGCTAGTAAGGTAAACCATAGGGATAGGGAGAAGCAGAGGGTCTCAATAGCGTCTACTGCACTGATATATGCTCGGAAAGTCATCCTGTCTGGCCCCGAACATGATAAGGAGCGGAGTTAGCTTAAGCGTAGTCTGATAAGAAGCCCACGCAATGATCGGGAACAGTGGTGGTTAGCGAAAGCGAGAGGGATAGAAAAGGCGGTGGAGATAGGCAGCAGTAGACAACTATTCAGACTTATCATAGAGACCAGAATTAGGAATTCGATTGTTAGACTATTCATTGTCACTCCAGGAGATTGGATCGATGGGCAAAACTCTTTAAGGATCATTCAAACTGGCCTTCAGCCACACTTCAGTTACCCACAGTCTCCAGTCAGTCTGAATCATATGTTGATCTAAGTCCTCTGACTTAATGAGGTTGAAAAGGTTATAGGGAATCTGGAGCGAGAAAGGCTAACCCCTGAGATTGATAAGGATAGTAGACCAGTTTTAGTAGTTAGATTGACTGAGAGCCAAGGTAGAATCTGGGAACTGGACGTAATCTCATTTAGGCGTCCGACAATAGTCGTGTTTCTGGACCTTAAGGTGGCATTTGACTCTGTTGATCGTAAGGTTCTAGGGTAGTATCTGTCATTAAATTGTGTGCCAAAGAAGTACATTAACCTTACACAAGCTCTCTATCCGAACACTACAGGTTGAGTGAGAGCTTACGGCGAATTGTCATCGGAATTCTTTACTTCTAGTGGTGTCCGTCAGGGATGTCCGCTCTCTCCATTCTTGTTTAATTTTGTCACAGACATGCTTCTAGAATTGACATTATCTCCGTCTGAGTTTCCAGGAATTAAACTTTTAACAGGAGATTCATTGGTTGACTAAGAATATGCCGATGACATAGTTCTACGTCGTGAAGACGCTGACAAAATGCAGTGTCTCCTGACTACCCTGAGCAACAATGCAAGCATGTTCGGGATGCGGTTTTCCCCCTCGAAATGCAAAATGTTGCTTCATGATTGGCTTGTGTCAGCAACTAAACTAGTGGTAGAGAGTGAAGTAGTTGGGCATGCTGACCGCTTCACTTATCTTGGGAGTATCGTCAGTGCTGATGGCCTGGTGTCTGACGAAATCTCAGTGCAGATACAAAAGGCTCGACTGGCTTTTATCAACTTGTATCATTGATGGTACAGGCAAGATATCCGTCTACTAACCAAAAGACGAGTCTATTTCACATCAGTTCGCTTCGTCCTACTCAATGAGTGTAAAGCATGGACACTAAGAGTAGAGGATATTCGTAGATTACTTGTATCTGATCATCGGTGTCTTCACTGCGTTGCTTGTATATACAGACCTTAGAGATTTTAAAACCTTGACTAACAGTTGTAAAAATCATTAATTGAGCAAGCTGTGAGCCAATATATACTCGGTTTAGTGTTCATCATTCGTTCAAATTATTTCAAGTCCAGATCTAAGATTAATTGTTGACATTTGGAAGAACTAATTTTATAAGTAATATTCGGTAAAAGTTGTTCACGTTTATCGATAATAACCTCTGGAACTTATTTATTTCAGGCAATTGCTTAAGCTGAAACGTTAAAGTAACTAGCACAAATGTTGTCTGAGAAATGGATTGGTACAACTAAATACAAGCTTAGAATCAGTGAGTTTTGTCAGTGACTTTTTGTAGCAGGTTTCGTAAGAATGAGTTGAAGTGTTTGGTAACAGTGATCAAATGGTTGGGGTTGTATGGCTGTAAATCGGTTAGAGCCTTAGAGCGACAAAGAAAGGAAGAGTTAGAACACAATGGAATTTGTATGAAACGCATGAATAGTGACAATGGATTGCTGTTTTGCAACAGGAACAGTCCAGTTCAATATGATGGACTGATATTTTTCAAATTAACGGTTTACGATATGGTTTTCCGATTTTACTGAGTAACTCTGTAATTTTCGTTAAATACAATTGGGTTGCCCCACCTCTGTTCTCATTCACTACATATATACTTTGAATAAGTCGAATAAATTATTGTGCAATCTTTTATACTAAACTGGATTAAGTACTTTTCATAGGTTATAGTTTGTTCCTTACAAACTTATATAAGATATTTATAATCATTTATTATAGATAATATCAATGGTTTTTATTTCGTTAACTGACAAACATTGTCATGAATTCATCTATTACTGTAAGTAAAAGTTTTTCAAAACTAACTTCAAAATAGAGCTTCATTTATTGCAAAATTACTTATTGCTTTATTTTTTCGATACTTTATTTATTTAGTTCGATAATCACACCACTCGTTGTTAATCGACTATAAATAATATTATTGATCACTTGATACTTACTGTAACATTTTCCAGTGCATTTTTATTAATTGGCATCGATAAATCCAATTTAATGCTTTTCTTATAATATAGTGGTGCTTATAAATTTGCAATTTCGTTTTATTTAATAGGTTGGAAGTAATATTGAATTTTGAATTTCTGTTTAATTGCTTTCAATGAAACTAGAGGTGTTGTTTCGGAAATTATTATAATATTTTATGATTATTTATTTATTTTTCTAATTTTAAGAAGAATATTAACTTAAGTCAACTTAAGATATAACTTTAAAGTATAGAAATGACAAACTTGAATAAATTATCTTTGTGAACTGTCGAAAGTTCTCCATTCGTTTTTCGGTGTTCAATAAATGAGCAATATTCAGCATTTTACAAATGCTAGAGAAGACGACCAGTGTAGCAGCAGCCTCTGCAGCAGTAGGTTTCAACATACATAAAGGAAAAAGCAAAATTCTCCGATGCAACACAACATGCACCAACCAAATCACTCTTGATGGAGATACCTTGGAGGACGTTAACACCTTTACATATCTTGGCAGCATCATCGACAACCAAGGTGGATCCGATGCAGATGTGAGGGCACGGATCGGCAAAGCAAGGGCTGCATTTCTACAGTTGAAAAATATCTGGAACTCCAAACAACTTTCAACCAAAACCAAAATCAGGATATTCAATACAAATGTCAAGACAGTTCTACTGTATGGAGCGGAAACATGGAGAACTACCAAAGCCATCATCCAGAGGATACAAGTGTTTATTAACAGTTGGCAACGCAAAATACTTCGTATTCGTTGGCCAGACATGATCAGCAACAACGAACTGTGGGAGAGAACAAGTCAGATTCCAGTGGAGGAGGAAATCAGAAAGAAGCGGTGGAAGTGGATAGGACACACACTACGAAAAGCACCCAACTGCGTCACGAGACAAGCCCTCACATGGAACCCTGAAGGCAAAAGGAAAAGAGGAAGTCCAAGGAACACATTACGCCGAGAAATAGAGAAAAATATGAGAAGAATGAACAAACATTGGACAGAACTGGAGATGGAAGCCCAGGACAGAGTTGGTTGGCGAAAACTGGTGGGAGACCTATGCTCCATTGGAGTAACAGGTGTAAGTAAGTATT